TCACTGTGCCATGACCCCAGTTGTCATGTTTACTCAGTCTTCCAATCTACACCAGTTTCTCCGTTTCCTTTGCTTTCACGACCTGGACGCTTTTGAAGAGTCCTGTTAGTTATTTTGTAAAATGTCCTTTGGTTTGGGTATACAGATGTTTCCTCACGACTAGATGTCGTATTTTAGAATATTACAGAAATAATATGCCTTTCTCAGTATGTCTTATCAGGGGTGCATGATGTTGATAAGTTTTATTACTGGTGATGTTAACCTTAGTTAGTTGGTTAAGGTGATGTATCCTGAGTTTTTCCATAGCATATTACTATTTTTTCTTTTGTAAATAATAAATGTCTCACAGGAGAGACTTTGAGACTATCTAGTTGTCATCCTGCTTGTCCTCAAACTTTTGCCCACTAATTTCAACATTCATCAGCACATTTTGCCTACAACAATTATTCCTCTGGTGTCTGTCTAATGGTGATTTCTTATTTCTTTCATTGCTTCTACATTTATTAATTGGAATTCTTCTGTAAGGAAGAACTGTTACTTCTCTTTTATTCATTCACTCATTGAATTATTTATACTAGTGTAGGCTCGTGGATATTAATTTGGCCATTGGAACTCTCACATTGGCTTCTGTGCCCTTTCAACAAGTTCACCTCATTTTATGCACATTGCCTTACTTTTTGGCACCAGGATTTGCTCCAGACGTGTTATTTTCCCTATCCCAGCCCTGGAACCAACCACTTCTCTAAAAGCCACTTTAAAATTAAACTCTCCTAGGAACTCTTGGTGAACATAAGAAAGACACCTCATTCAAAGGTATATGACTTTGAACTTCCTTTTTTATATTTTAGAATTCTAATCTCTCTGGTATATACTTAGGATACTTCCTATTCATTGGATTCATAGTTTCAGTGACTATATTTTTTACTTTTAGAGATTCCATTTGATTCTTTCCCAGATATGCCTTTTTTCCATCATGACCTGTTATTTTACTGGGAATTAAATGTGTTTTCATCTCTAATTCTTTTAAGTGCTTTTGTGCTGCTTTCTACTTGTTCTGTTATCTGAAGGTCGTGGATGTCTATCCTGCTAGTTGTCTGTGCTGATTCTCACTCAGATTGGACTCATGCATCATTCTATGTTTTGAACTTTTTCTTTTGTCATGACCTCGTTTTTAGAGGGGTTTAATTTATTTTTCTGTGGGCATAAATTTGGGTTATGTGTTATGGGAGTACCCTTCGGGAGTGGTTCAGGTGGCCCCAACTCACTGCCATTTTTTATATTAATTTCTCAGCTCAGTGGTTTCCAGTTCAACCATTTCACCGAGGGTATTGCCATTCAAGAGTGCTGGCTTTATGTGAGGGTCTCCGTTCCAACTCCTGCCTTAAGAAGGCTAAAGGCCCTATCCTTTCCGTGTGGGCATTTGAACACAAGCTATTAGGTTATAGAAACTGATAACTTCCTTATAATACCTCAGTACAGGTGTTTTCCTCTCTGTTTCTAGCCCTAGGTAATACCCCCATTTTTTTTTTCTTTTCAGCTAAGCCATATATGTATAGAACTTTATCAATCATTGCAAGTGTGGCCCATCATATTGCTGGAACAGAAGTCAATCAGTTTTTTTAAAAAAACAAACAAGTTATTGGGTAATGTGCAGAACATATATCAAATAGAACTTTTCAGACGCCGTCTCCTGTAAATATGCTCCCTTTTCTAGTTTTCCCTTTTTTTAAATAAAACTCATCTTTATTGTTGAAAGTGTTACAGATGCTCCTCACTTTCCCCCTTCACCTCACCCCCGCTCCCAGGCCTTCACCAAATTGTCTTTGTCAGTGCTACTCATATAAGTCTGTAAGTTCCCTGGTTATTATCTCCTACCCCGCCTTCCCTCTAAGGTTCTCCAGTCTGTTCCATGCTTGTATGTCTCTGGATCTATTTTGTTCATCAGTTTATTTTGTTCATAAAATTCCACATATGAGTGAGACCATCTGATACATATCTTTCTCTGACTGGCTTATTTTGCTTAGCATGATACTCTCTAGGTCCCTCCATACTGTCTCAAAGGGTAAGAGATCCTTCTTTGTTACAGCTGCATAGTATTGCATGATGTAACTGCACCACTGCTTTTTTATCCACTCATCTACTGATCGGCACTGGGGCTATTTCCAGATGTTAGCTATTGTAAACAACGCTGCTATGAACATAGGAGTGCATATATCCTTTCTGATTGGTGTTTTGGGTTTCTTAGGATATATTTCTAGAAGTGGGATCACTGGGTCAAATAGCAGTTCCATTTTTAATTTTTGAGGAAACTCCTACTGTTTTCCATAGTGCTCGGGGGTCACATAACTAGTTAGTATGCCAGAGTCTAGTTTGTTATTGGAATTAAGCAGGCAAATTGTTCCACCAACTAAGAATGGCCATGCACGACCACTCCCCTTCTTTTTTAATGTTACATTTTATTCATGTCTCTGGGCCAAAAATATCCCACTTTCCAATTCATTATCCAAGTTTTTTTATTTGTTTGAATCTCCACTTTAGCTTTACCAGGCCTCAGGTTCCAGTGCTATCAGTAGTTAAGTACTGATACTGTTATTTACTTACCACTGTGCTTAGTACTAGGAAATGAGACCTATAAGACAGGGTCATTGTTTTTGAAGAGTTTACTATCTAGTTGAGGAGACAATTTACGTTCTCTAAAATAGTGAACAATACTAGACAGTATATAATTAAATGCTAAGTTGGGTGACAGAGTTTTAAGTGTTAGAAATTGGAGGAAAGAAACTAATAAAATGAGAGCCTGAATTGTAAGAGAAACTTAATTGTGGAGGTAGAGTTTGAAGTGGGTCTTGAAACAACATAGATTGGAACTGGATAGGCATTTAAAGTGAGGAGAAAGCACAGACAATTAGTGAGTATATTATGCATAAGATTTTTTTAAAAACTTTGAGGCTCCTTATGTGTTAGGGACTAGTGAGAGATGGGAATTCGAGAGAGAGGGGTGGATGCCTGCTCTGACTTTGGCACTACCCGATGAATCGTTCAAAAGTAGCATTTTAATTTTATTTATTCCCCAATTCAGGTATATCTAGAGGCTGCCTTTTCTTTTTGATTCTAGTACAGACTGCTTTGACATTCCAGGTACTCTCTGACCCACGAGCCTTTCCTCACTGTTACACATGCTTTTTGTGCCTACAACATGCGTTTTGGGGGATGGATTCTGACTTAAGCTTTCCATTTCCTAGTGGGTTTTCTGCTGAAGAAGGATTGTCCATTCCTTCTTCAAGTCCCATCTCAATACTGCCTCGATGCTCTGATGACTCCCATCTACTGATATCTTTCTTCCTCAGATTCCTCTTGAAACTACTTTCTGTTGAACAGAGTTCAATATCTAATCATATACCTTTTGTTTTCTGATAATTTAGAATTACATGCACTTCTCTTTCTTTTTAATAGGTGCTAAGTTCTGTGAAGGTTTAGGTTATGTTTTCTACTTTATTGTTCCTCTTAGTGCTGTATACTAACTACTCTGGTTATAGATTCAATGTTGAATTGAAAGCTTTTAAGGAATTGTGTGTTTTTTAAAATTTCAAATACTGCTGATTTGTAATATTAGAGCTACTACTTTGTATAAATGTGCCTACCGTCATGCCTTGCACGTAGCACTGCTCTTAACTTAGTATATGTTACTGGAATCCAAATTTGTAGTCAATCTCAAGTCAAAGCACATTTTTTTTTACTGTTTCATGGAAAGTAGAAAAAAGAGCAAAAGCACTAAATCTAAGTTTTCTGTGATACTTTCCTCTGTCTTCTCTTTGAACCTCTCCTTAATCTGTGTTCTTAAGTCTATATTATTCATTTATCTTTGACATCTTTCCACTGACTACCTCCTGTAGCTTTTCTAAATAATTTATATGTGTAGATGGAGATAAATTGTGTGTGTTAATTCAAGCTTGAGAGGTTGGAGTGTTTTAGAAAGATTAATCCTTGTTCAACTCTATCTAATTGATCTGTGTTGGCACTGTTCTTGCCTGAGTTTTAAAAGTTTAATAAAATATCTATAAGTGAAGAACTCATCTGTTGTAGTTGGAATTAAACTTACGAAGACATGTGAATATCCATAAAACCAGATATTAAAATGAACTGAGAACACTTGCTTAAGGAAATTGGGCTTAAACATTTTTCTTAGGCGTTAGTTTTTACTTGATCTCTTAGCCTCCTAAAAAAAAATCTGAGATGACTTTTAAGACAAAGTCTCAAATTATTATTTTAAATAATATAAATATTCTCCTCCCTTCTTTAAAAGCTTGTAAGATGATTTGAGAGTGTTCAACTTATTTATAGTAGCCTCCCCATTTTCCAGGTGGTGCCGTGGTTTCGGCAGTGCTGAGAAACTGCCAGGACTGTAGACACCTGGCCTTAGAAATGTCCTAACATTAGCTTACCCTTCTGTGTTTCAGAGACTGTTTCTCAGCAATGAAGGTAGCTATTCTGGAATTTAATTTCAAGTGTGTGCCTGAGAGAGAGAAGGGCGGGTGGACAGAGAGAAAGAAAGAGATTTTTTTCTCCTTGCAAGAAAGCAATTGTATAAGGCAGGCTGGGTCTTCTTCCACAACAGTTTATATTACATTGGTTTAAATCATTTCTTTTGAGGGCAGTACCTTATGAAATCTTAACTTCTAGGAATGTTCTTATTCTTTTCTTGAGTCTCCTTATAATAAAAGATAGTACTCTTGGCATGGTGATGTAAAGTACAGCCTAGTAGAGTCAATAATATTGTAATAACTATGTATGATACCAGAGGGTACTAGACTTACTGAGGAAATCACCTCTAAGTTACATAAACGTCTAACCACTATGTTGTACACCTGAAGCTAATATAATATTGAATGTCAACTGTAATTAAAAAATAAAAAAAAATTTTGAAAAAGATAGTGCTCTTTACTAATGGCTTCTTAGGAAGTGAAATCTCGTTGGGCATTCACTCTTGATTTGCTTCACAGGTTGTTTGTATTCGCTCCACTTGGAATGCTCTCTCCCCGAAGCTGAGCTGTGACACCAGACCTCTCATTTTGAAGACGCTCAGTGAACTGTTTTCTCTGGTTCCTTCCCTAACCGTCAACACAGCTGAATACGAGGTATGCGTTTGGAGCTCAAGACATTGTCTGTTTCTACACTGGAAACACATGTGCTTTATAATAACTTTTGGATAAAATATTTGTAATTCTTTGCCCCAAATCCTTTAGCATGTTTTGTTCTGAGAACATGTTGATATCTGTATGGACCCTCAGGAGTAGGGAAGATATCTACTGTTATCAATTCTGAGCCTTTAAGACTCGTTTACATAAAGGATACCAAGTTTTTATTATGAGGGTATAGTCAAGATTTTAAAAAGTCAGCATGGCCCTAACCGGTTTGGCTCAGTGGATAGAGCGTCGGCCTGCGGACTCAAGAGTCCCAGGTTCGATTCTGGTCAAGGGCATGTACCTTGGTTGCGGGCACATACCCAGTAGGGAGTGTGCAGGAGGCAGCTGATCAATGTTTCTCTCTCATTGATGTTTCTAACTCTCTATCCATCTCCCTTCCTCTCTGTAAAAAATCAATAAAATATATTTAAAAAAAATAAAAATAAAAAGTCAGCATGTTAAAAAGTGTTTTGAAAATAATAGAATTCATCAGACCAACAGTTTAAATTCCTTTTGTTGTTGTTTTAAGTTCTAAAAAATGTACAAAGAATCTTTCATTACTATAGACATATTGTCAGTTTGCTCCTAGCTTTGCCATAGAGATTTGGTTTTTACATGTTAGCTCACATTTTCTACATACATCTGTCACCTTCATCTATACTCTTCCATGAGGATGATTATACAACCAACCCATCTTAGAAGAGGAAAATAATTTTATGACGACTCTGTGTTTGTCATCCTAATGAATTGAAAAACCTGGTGAAAGATGCTTTGCTATAAGATTCATAGATTCCTGCTTAACATTTCCTTCAGTTATCTCTTCTGTGAGTGAAATAGAGAAGGTGTTGAATTCATTTATGCCTCCTCTTTTGTGGCCATATTCCCTTCCATGTTCATCTTTTTTCTTTTTCTTTCAAAGAGCAGCAATTGATTTTTACTTCTTGGCAGACTTTTAGTTTGAGTCATGGATTTTGATAAAACACCCCTCTATCATATTCCAATATTAGTCCCTTTCATGTTTTCGATCATGTGATAAGACAGTAGGAAATGGTTAGGTTTCTAAATTTAATAATCTTAAAATCCCATTGTATTTAAAATATCCATGTATCTAAGTGATAATTCTGTTTCCAAGTATTTTCATTTTATGAATGGTAGGTAAATACAGGTTAAGTCAATTAGTAGGGGTATAACTTTTAAGGTGATTTAATTTCCACTATTTGCTACTTTAGATGTTTATTCTTGGTTTTATCTTTGTCTTAAAGTTTTACTCTGTGTATTTTGACTTTTTCAGAATTTCAAAGTTCAAGTCCTCAGCTTCCTCTGGACTCACACTCAGAACAAGGTACTATCACAAGGGGTGTCCCTGACACAGAGCAAGGCTGGGGAAGGAACTACCAAATAAGGTTCTTAGAATAAAAAGGGGGACGCCCTTGAAATGATGGCTCCTTGATTTTAAAAGAATTGCAGCTATTCACAAGTTTAGACTTTGAAATGTATTCTCAGTTTGCTCTCATTAAGACGTTTTCACCATGAAGTGCACGTACTACTTTGTGAAGCTGACATTTGTCGGAAGAGGGACAGTTGCCATTGTCTCATGTTTTTAATGGTCCTTCCCTTTCCTTCTTTGTCCCTCTCCCCTCAGCAAGCATACCAAACAAGCAACCACCCAGTCCATTTTTTAAAATATTGTTTCCAATAAGGAGTATAGAGAAGAGGGTGTGGGTGATGTATCCGAATCATAAGTGAAAAAGCTTAGAATCCCAAAGGCTAGCTTTCCCTGCTGGGAGCTGGAGCATCAGAATCCAGTTCCAGGCCTATCAGACTCTAGCCCCTGAGCCCCCTTCCACTAAGCCCTACTACGTCATGGGGGCCTGAGACTATGCATTACTTTATGTTTAATGTCCAAACTAGGGTACAAATCCTAGTGCTTCTGATCCTTCTACCCAATGCTTTTCTCTCCATTTTCAATTGGGATGGATTAAGCAAGTTAATACCGTTCCTGGAGCACTGACCATAGAACTTTGAGGGTGGAGAGGGAGTTGTTTATTATACATTGTTTATTATACGTTGTTTCTTTTCTTTGTCTTACCTTTTTCCTACCCAGGACTCGGTTGTAGCAAAGGCTGCCTATCAATCTCTGTCACACTTCAGCGCTGGCGAGCACACGGTTCTTCACCTGCCCGAACAGGTAGGCCTGTCTGCTCTCTCACTGCTCTCCTTCCTGCTGAGCTTTACAACTTGATTTGTATCTCCCTTCCCCTTAGGAGATTTGTACCTGATGGATGTATATGTAATTATAAATATGTTGTCTATGAAAGATAAGAATTTATATTCATTACCTGTTTAAGCTGTAATGAACTTAGACGGTAGTGGTGTTAGACATCACAGATAGTGACTTTAAATCTCTTTGAAGAAGATGGGAGATGCCTGTGGTGCCAATGGAGTCTCCTTCAGGTGACTGGGTGTATGGCTGCATGCCTATGCCCACGGCTTACTCCAGAAGATCTGTGCCACCGTAGGAACCACTTTGCCAAGTTAGGATACCGTCTTGGACTTCAAATCCAAGCAGGGCCTGTACAGACTAAGATCTATATTGCTTGTGCAACCAAAGATCTTTGTGATAGAAAGTTGAGGTGCCATGTGAAAAAAAATTATTTATTCATGTGAAATGAAGTGTAGGTTAGCACCAGAGAACTGGCTGAGGAAAGTATTACTGTCTTTTAAGGGTTAACGCATAGTGTGACATTATCATAGTGTTTAGACTAAACTAAAACTACACAACCTTTTCTAGTATCTATGTAATATAGACAATTTCAAATTATTGGGTTGTCTGGAATTAAGTGTCTGATTTCACATTTAGTGCTACTAATTCAAATGCACCCACATGCACAAATGCCTTTAGAGTGTAAGGCAGACACTGTAGTAGAAGAAGTTATGTGTAACATTACGCAGAATCTGTCCTTGAGGCCAAATGGCTAGAACTTGGGCTCCTCGGGCATTAAAATGGGTTTTCTTTCTCTTCTAGATTGAGATTATATGGAGATTAGATACCAGTAAGAATAACTGTCTATTGAATTGAATAGGAGCCACCATGTAAGTGGGACTGAAGGACAGGCTCCTGTAAAACCAAATCTAAGTAGAGCAGGATTTCCCATGTCCCCAAGCAGCTTGGCTGCCTTGTCATGCAGTTATCACAACTGGGAAGACTTAAGAAAAAATGTTTTATGACTCATAAAATTAAAAAAGATGGGACTTCAGAGGCCAGCGGTGGGTGGCGGGGTCGAGTCGCGGAGTGGGGTGGGGAGGTTGGTGTGAGGGCGCTGCAGCGAGGGTCATAGGGCCGGGGTGTCCCAGTGCAGCCCCTGGATGAGCCCCTAGTATTTTCCTTATAAGCTTGGGCCCCAAGGCTGGCGGCGATGCCGGCCCAGAGCCTAAGAGGATTATAAAGGTCAGGCGAAGTGGGGCCAGGGAATGAGCCTGGTTAGGCTAGAGATGAGGGAGCTTTAGGGAGGCCTCTGCCACTGTAACTGTTAGGCCTGGTTGATGACGAGACCACTGCTCAGTCTGAGTTCTGGAAACCAGGTAATGGAGTGTGTTCTGAGAATGAACTGAGACTGGGTGGGGAAAAAAAGATGGGACTTCAGACTGCTCTATGGCTACTAGCAATACCCATAGCTTATAGAAGGGAGGGAGGGAGAGAAGAAAAAGTAAAAAAAAAAAAGGGGGGGGGGAGCTACATGTAAATTTGGTGTGCAAACTCCTACCAATAGATGTGGGAAGATACCTTTTATTATTATTATTATTATTATTATTATTGTAGTTGTTGTTATTAAGTAATTTCTAATTTACATCACCGCATGATAATTACCTTTATTTTCAGCTCTCATTCTTGTAATATTTCAGCTGAAATAAATAGCTTTAGTTAAGCAACTTTCACATTCACTTGGCTATTTCATCTCTACCTCATCAAATATTGATATGTTTATATTTTTTCCTACTTTAGGGTTATGTCTAGTTTCTGATTATGGTTGTTAGAATTTATACTCAAATAAGTGCTATTCTCAGTCAAATATTAGGTACTTCCTTAATCTAGCTCTTCTATATTGTCTGATCCCTAATAGCATATATAGCTCTTCATACCTCCCTACACAAAGAGTAGTGATATTTGTAGAGTTGGGGTTTCTCAGTCTGCTTGGGTTTTCACCATCAGCATATGAAGAGCTGTCAAGGAAATCTCTAAGACTTGTCCTTTGTTAGCCATGCTTTTCAACCTTTTCTTCCGCCCTAACCCCCTTCAGGGATATGAATAGTGGTTCACTAATGTTAATATTTTCAACTGGGATTAAGATGAACAGACAAAAATGGTTTAAAAGATTCCACCTCTTTGCCCTGATCGGTTTGGCTCAGTGGATAGAGCATCGGGCTGCGGACTGAAGGGTTCCAGGTTCGATTCCGGTCAAGGGCATGTACCTGGGTTGCGGGCACATCCCCAGTAGGGGGCGTGCAGGAAGCAGCTGATCGATGTTTCTCTCCCATCGATGTTTCTGACTCTCTATCCCTCTCCCTTCCTCTCTGTATAAAATCAATAAAGTATATTTTAAAAGATTCCACCTCTGATGACCATCTTCTGGTCTAGAGGGCCCGCCTCCCCACGGAGAATCATTGCTTCCAAGACTGCACCATGCATTCCTCTTCTTTTTGTTGATGAATGATTTTCAGTTTGGCTGTTAGAATACCCAGGACTGAGAGTCCAGAAAGCTGTCCATGTATTCACATCCCAAACAAGTCCCCCAAGTCCCCAAAGGCTTAGGAGACAACCAAGTCAGCGTCCCACTTCTGCTTTGTAGATGGTGACAGTGAGGCCCATTTTCCAGAAAAGCTTGTTTTCAATTATCTTAAAAGTCCCTGCCAGGTAGGGGCTAATATAATACAAAAACTAAGATTTTTGTTGTTGTTAGGGACTACTTCCTCTGTATTAGGGCAATTTCAATTACTCACGAAGCTGAAAGTTACTTGTACTTTCCAGTGAAAGTATGTCCGTCCACCTTTTCTTTTTCTGCTCGTGGAAACTTGTGAAATAGTCTTCTAAATGAGCACAGTATGAATTTCAAGTAGAAATGTGAAAAAAAGGTATAGTGGATCCTTATCAACATGGTTACATTTATGGATTGTAATTCAGCTATTTTTGTGATAAGCACTGCCCTTTTTAAAATTTACTGAAGAAAGATTTCTTGTTGATTGATGCATTAATTTAAAACTGTGAAACTTGTTGAAAGCTAACAGGCTGGTAGAACAAAAGGTATTAGAGAAGTGGCAGACATCAGAAAAAAATTTAGGGTTGAATAAGACATCACATCTAAGGCTAGATGGGAAATGCCATTGGGTAATAGATTTGAATGAGATACTTTGTGAGTTAGGGATTTGAAATCAAATTCAGTAACGCATTTTTTTTGTCACTGGTTTTTTTTTTAGGAAGTTCTGTGAGATTATTGGAGATAGACACTTAACACTTGCATTGGTTTAATAATTATTTATTGGACATATACTAAGTGCTAGGCTACTATGTGTTTTGTTGGTTTGTAAAAATATTGTTAATTACTTGAAACTTGCAAATCTAAAGTTGGTCAAAAAATCTGGGGGCCTTCATTGAGGACTTGTTGATTCTAATGCTAAAATATACACATGAGCCCTAGATGGTTTGGCTCAGTGCATAGAGCATTGGCCTGCGGACTGAAGAGTCCCGGTTTTGAATTCTGGTCAAGGGCATATGCCAGGGTTGCTGGCTCGATCCCCAGTTGGGGGCATGCAGAAGGCAACCAATTAATGATTCTCTCTCATCATTGATGTTTCTATCTCTCTCTCCTCTCCCTTCCTCTCTAAAATCAATAAAATAAAAAGTACAGATGAGTGCTTCCTCCCTTTTAGTTTATATTTCTTTGGTTTTTTTGGTGTTTTTTTTGTTTTGTTTTTTTAGCTATTTATCCTTCTCCTCTGCCTTCTTTAGCACCAAAAAATAAATAAATAAATAAATCAACCCCCAAAAGGCAACCAAACAAACAAAAAAAACCCCCATAGAGAATTGTTTTCCTGATAAAACAATCAGTAATGGATAAACATTTAGGTAGAAGATTGACTCTCTTCTCTGACTTGGGTTCATTAAAAAATATTTAGCTATTTAAAAATTAAACTTTTTATTATAGAGGTCTTAAGATAAATTGTGCTGTTGATTTCTGGAGTTAATTTTAGAAGCGAGTAATATAAAAGGACTCATTATGCATGCTGGGTTAGTATTAATGTGTTGTAACCTGTTCGTCTTTGATTTAAGTGAATGTCACTGCATTCATCAGAAGCTGTTTCTCTTTTTAAATGAATTTATGCAGATACTTGACATGTTCCAAATAAAATCCTCTGTTTCTGCACAAACTCCTGGGTTTTCATAGGTTACACACAAACAAAGGTGGTTGAAAGGTTATCTGGCTCAGAACCCACAGGAAGGCATTTTGTGGGGTAAGCTTTCCAGTATTCAATTTGAAGCAGATTTTAAAAGTAATTTATCATTTTATACTTGGCTCTCTATTAAAGTGTCTCCAGTAAAGCTTAGCTATTATTGGAAGGGCATAGTTGTGTGTATACATGCATGTGTGTTTGTGTTTCAAATATATGTGCAGTTTTCCTGGGTGTTTTGGCAGCTAATGTAATATAATTGCCCAAATTATGAAATTTTAACAGATTTTTTCATATGACGTCTCTTGATGTTCCTTAGTTGTACTCATATTGATCATAGTCGTTGCACACAAGCCCAGGGAAGAGACTGGAACTAGCATAGGGAAGCTGGAATAAATGCCTCTTTAAGAGACGAGCAGAAAAGGACAGAAATGTAATGGAACCAAGTTCTAACAATAGTGCTAATTTGTTCGGGAGAATCAACTCGCATTTGAAGAAACAAAATTGAAGGAGTCATCATAGCATTATAAGTAGGCAGAGGATGTCATTTATACTGAAATCACAGTACATCTGTAGTTTCCTTGTTATAAGATGCAGACATATGCTGTTTACTATATAGCAGATAGATTAATATAGGTATTCAGTTATGTGAATGTGAAATTGGGCAATTTAAGATGGGTGAGTGTATCAATTTTTTTTTTACCCCAACCTAGTAGGTCTTTCTTTCATGGCTCTAGAAATATTGATGGCTGGGTGCTGTGACTCATTTTAAGTAATTTAGGTTGGCTGAGCAGAAAGACTGGATAGGCTAACATGTGTGCAAAAATGATTGTATCCCTTTTATAGTAAACTAGAGGCCTGGTGCACAAAATTCATGCAGTCCAAGGGGATTGGGCCTAAGCTGGCAGTAGGACATCCCTCTCACAGTCCGGGATACCTTGCTCCTTACCGCTCGGCTCACCACTCGGCTCGCTGATCCTTAGCGCTGCCACGGAGGCGGGAGAGGCTCCCACCACCTCGGCTGCGCTCGCCAGCCGTAAGCCTGGCTTCTGGCTTAGCGGCGCTCCCCCTGTGGGAGTGCACTGACCACTGGGGGCAGCTCCTGCATTGTGCATCATAGCGACCAATCATTCTGGTCATTCCGCCGTAATGGTCACTAGGCTTTTATTATATAGACTAGAGGCCTGGTGCACGGATTCATGCACCCGTGGGGCCCCTTGGCCTGGCCTGCACCTTCTCGCAATCCAGGACCCCTCGGGGGATATCAGAGAGCTGGTTTCGGCCCGATCCTTGCAGGCTAGGCCGAGGGACCCCACCGGTGCACGATCAGGGCCGGGGAGGGACCTTGGGAGGGCTCCAGAGCATGTCTGGCCTGTCTTGCCCACTCCTGATAGGCCGGACCTCAGCAGCAAGCTAACCTACTGGTCGGAGTGTCTGCCCCTGGTGGTCAGTGCGCATCATAGCAACTGGTTGAACAGTTAAGACACTTAGCATATTAGGCTTTTATTATATAGGATTATTCTGGAATTAGAAGCATTGGATCATTTGGCATAGTTCGTGCACCAGCTAAGGTCCCTCTGAAGGCGATGGTGGCTTCTGCTTCTTACTCTTCTGCTTGTGCCACTAACACCTCCCTCTCTCTCTTCCCACTTCCTCTTCTCTTTCTTATAGCCTTCCTTCCTTCATCCTTCCTCCCACCTTTCCTTCCACCGCCTTCCTTCTTTATAAACAGATTAATTGAAACATGATTCACATTCCATATGATTCACCTATTTAAAGCATACAATCAGTGGTTTTAGTATATTCAAAGAATTGTGCCAGCTAATCAAAGAGCAACAAATCTAATTTTAGAACATTTTATTATGAGTTAATTCCCATTACCCTTTCCTCTCCCCAAGCCCTAAGCAACGATTAATCTACTTTCTGTCTCTAAATTTGCCTGGCCTGAACCTTTGCTATAATGAAATCATATGGTATGTGGTCTTTTGTGACTGGCTTCCTTAATAGCGTATTTTCAAGGGTCATTCATGTGTAGCATGAATGGTACTTTGTACCTTTTTATGACCAAATAATATTCCAAGGTACAGATATGCCACATTTTGTTTATGAATTCATCAGTTCATGGGCATTTCAGTTGCCTGTTTTGTTTTTTTGTTGGTTTTTTTTTGGGGGGGGGGGCGTGTTGTGTGTTTTTTTGTTTTAGCTATTATGAATAATGCATTCACATTCCTGAACATTCATTCACGCGCAAGTTTTTTGTGTGACTGTATATTTTCATTTCTCTTGGTTATATACCTAGCAGTGGGATTCCTGGGGCTTATCAATTCATGTGAACTGTCTTTAACATTTTGAGAAAGTGCCAACCTGTTTTTCAAAGGAGCCGCCCCCCTTCACATGTGCACCAGCAGCGTATGCGGGTTCTGATTTCTCCACAGCCACACCGTTCCTCTGAGTTTTCATCGGCGCCCCCCCCCCAAGTCTCCTATCACCTTAAATGTGAGGGGCAGCAGGGCTTCCCAGGGCTTGGGTGGCCTGGCGTGGTAGCGGGTGTTTCTGATGTAGGCTCCAGCTGTAAGCAGTGTTGTCTGCTTCCCCAGGGTGTTGTTCAGATGCTTTTCCATTTGTACTGTGGATGTGTAAAAAGTCAGGAAGTAAGGCAAACGGACCCAGACCAACTCCTTTTGGGGGAACTTTTTAGGCAACGGGGACTTGTTAGAATCTCCGAGATAACTCCTGATGATACTAACCCTGACAACTTCCGAGTATGTATGTAGACCCGAGATACTGGGAAAACTCCGCTTGTTAGAACCAAAAGGTTTGCAAACGCGCCAGGGTTTCTCTGGTATGCACTGATGTCAGCAAATGCCCTGTGTGGAGCGTGGATTGTTATCGCTGTAATTGTGGCTGGCGCAGGCTCTGAGAGCCAGGCCCACTATTGCCTCACAAGTAAGCCTGTCTTAGCAAGTGCTCGGGCAGTCCGCTTGCCTTCCCTCCTTCACTGTTGTAGAGGACGCGAGTTACGGTTGAAAGGCTTCATTGGTGTTGAAGTTATTATACTTAAGAGAAGCATTTCCTCTATTTTTTTTTTAATCCCTTGCAAGAACCCCGGCTCAGTGCAGTTCCTAAATGGAACAGTGCTTTGGGGACCTATGAAGAAGGCAGTCGGCAGGAATTGTTAATTGTTTCTAAAAATAACTCCAGGAGACAGGCTAATGGTAATGACTGGGTTCTGGCACTTTATGGTTATAGCAACCACTTTTATATATTTTGATTTCCTCCCCTAATGCTTAATTATCTCCATGTGGGCATTATGATGGTGTATCATTGAAAGTATTAAAAATTTAATTAATTGCTTGACAGTTATATCTTGTGGAAATTACAATAGTGGTAATCTTCAAATTGCAAATCCCACAATAAAGTGTAGCTACCAATTACAGATTTTAGTGTTTTTATATTCTCTAGCAACAAATTGCCAAGTCTAAAATAAAGTCAACTAAAGCATTCCGTTCCTTCCTGATCTCCATCATATATTCTACTGGAGGATTTTAAGCTTTATCATAGAGATGTGAGTAGAATCACAAATTTTAAAAAAATGTATTCAGAGTAGGCAAATAATTTCATTATAAACCATAGAAGTCCAATATATTCAATGTGTCAGTGTTTGCATTTTATTGTCTGACGGTGTAAACTTTTATTACTTTTCTATAAAATCATTGCTTATATTGGTTTATGGTGATTTTCTTACAATATTATTAGCTCTTTACTTGGATCTGGGGTTGTACCTAATATAATTACAGGTTAACATTTAGTTAATCTGAAAATGAATAGTTTTTTAAAAATTATTTTTAATAGTCTTTTGACTTTATAGAGCACTGAATCTAGCTGGTTTTTTAAATCTTGACATAAAAAGGACAAAGAAAAGATTTTACATGATGCTTTAGTATTGTCTTCTCTGTCATTTAAGATAAGACCAGAAATCAGTCCTCCTGAGCTGGATGAAGATGAAGATGAGGAGGGTGATGAAAAGGATGTGGATCTTTCGATTCCTGGCTCTTGCTATCTCAAACTGTTGCCACTCACCTCGCCTTTGGTGTTACCAGGTGACTTATTTACTTAATGGCAGGGAAGCTATCATTTTCCAGTGATTTTTACCTATCTGATTAATCGTGTTCTTTTGTGATGTGTACATATTATAGCTTGCTTTAATCTTACATACTCATTTTCTATCTGAAATGCAAAATGCCTCCATCTGTTCCATAGGACTGCTTGAGGTAGTATGGCATTCAAAATATACTGAATATGTTAGACTCAAATAAAATTGAACTGGAAAACTAGTTTAAAAACCATTTTTACCAAGAAATTAAAATGTATTTCAAATGCTAAATTTATTCTGTAAGATAAGTTTGCAGTGGCACTTTAAGTCACTGATTCAAATAACTGTTTATTGTTATATAAGGTAAGTGAAAAGATTGTTAGAATCTTCCAAGATTTACTGGCTAGTATCATCATTATAAATTTATTCTAAAGAGAATTATTCCAAAGATGGTACCAATATTCAAGAACTGGAAATGAATGCCTTTAAAAAATAGATCGAATTGCATAGTCATTTAGTTTCAACATAAACTTTACAGAATCTTGGCATTTTAAAAAATATTCTAATTATTTCTAATTATTCTAATTCAGTATTAGCCAACATTTTGCTGACCATGCATTATATGTCCTGTCCCAATTCTAGTTTGAATGTTCATGAATGTATAAATTTCTTAAAATTAAGTTCAATAAACACAAGAAATGTCATCTTATCTTCACAATCGTAATCTCACTAGCCTATAATGTTGAAAGATTTTTTTCCTTGGTTTCATCCCACGTGGAGATTCCTGAGGAATTCAGCCAAATAAATATTATTAATTTCTAGACAAAGCTCCTGTCCCAAATCCCCACCTCCTTTCATTAGAGAAAGCTGGATGGTACAACTGAGACAAAGAGCTCACCCTTTCTTTTCTCCTGATGCCCAGAATGAGCCTTAAAGACTAGTCTCCTGTCCTCTCTTCTATTCTTCCCCACTTCCTACCTCAGGGCTCTTCAGAGTCTGGAACTTTTCGTGTAGTTAATAGTGAGTCAAAGAAGTAAAAAGCCTGCATTTATCAAAGTGCCCCTTGTATCCTAAAATAGCCTTAGGATGTTGTTCCGTCTTACATGGAATATGCGTGCGCATACACACACACACACACACACACACACACACACACACGTGCCCCTCACCCCTCATCCCCCGGGCTTGTGGTGGGAGAAGAAGGGGGAAGACATTGGTTGCCAAGCTCTGCTGTTGTGTCTGACCTCCCAGTCTGCACAGAACTGTGGTGGCCATTAAGTGGCTCTGCGTGCTTTGTCCTTGGTTATTGTTAGTGCCTTTCATTGAGAAAGAAGGGGAAGACTTGAGATCACCAATTGTATCTACTTGAGAAAATTCAATACTTAGAATCAGGTGGGTAATCTAGATGCTGCCTGCATCTGGCGAGCCATGTCAGCACGGCAGGGTTCTTCACTGTTCTGTGCCTCACTCTTCCTGGGATTACTCAAAAAGCAAACAAGACACCCGGGAAACAGCACCAGCCACAGGAGTGTATGCCCTACAGGGTCCAGGGGGGATGATCCATATTAGGTCTCTGGGTGCAGTAAGTAGGCGGAAAGCCAGATCACAGAGTAAGTGAATCCTGGCCCTTTTCTCCTCTTACTTCCAAGTAAACACAAATTCAATTGCAGAGTAAATTCAGTAATTTGCATTATTTTAATAGGGGTCTTACTGGTATCAAATTTTTTGAAATAATTTTAGACTTACAAGAAGTCACAAAAACAGTTTAGAAAGTTTCTGTGTACTTTTACCCACCTGCTCCCAATTGCTAACAGCACACAAAGCCTTAGTTCATTATTAAAACCAGGAATTTCACATCGGTACGATATTAATAACGATAGACCTTTCAGATTTTACCAGGTTTTTTCATACATTATATAAACTTTTGGGATTAGCTTTTTTTTTTTTTTCTCTCACTCAGCCTGTTTTTGAATCCATCCAAATACTTGCCTGTATGAATTGTTCTTTTTTATTACTGAGTAGTATTTCATTGTAGGATGTACTACAGTTTGTTTATCCACTCACCTGTTGAAAGACATTTGGGTTGTTTTAAAATTTTATATCTAACACTGCAACCTACAGATTTTCAGCTCTTTTCAAATTCTCACCTGGTCAAAGACATGGCAAAACTCAATGACAATGGAAAACATCCTAGTTGCTAGCTTAGTGGCTGGGGGAGGACGGTGTTTTTTATATCAATTGCAGTCATACCTTCATTTACACTATTCTCAGGGCTGGAGTTATTTTTAGAATCCTTAGTCCTCTGAAGAGCTTGCCAAGTAGACAAATTTCCATTCCCGGGTTAGTCTATTGCACATGTGTACTTATCTCTTGACATGTATCAGCTTTGCCAGAAAAGGACCCTTCAGGGAAAGCATGAAATAACTCCTCTCATCATAGCACTAGTGTCCTCATACATGATGATCCTGGCTTCATTCTGAACAGCTGTGCTCACACTCATCTAGCTTGAAGCGGTCATGCATGTGCATGTGAATGCAGGTATTGGGGTGTATGCCTGCAATTGGATGTTACTTGTCCCTGTCATTTAGATGATGTATTGATTAGGGTCTTGACAGGAAAGTCACATTCAGATGGAGTAACCGAGAGTTTAATAGAGACTATTTACAGTTATGTTATCAAGGTTAAAGGAAAATCACAAGCAATGGTGAATCATCCCAGAGTGGGATGATGTCCCTTAGCTAGAAGGTGTGAAGGGAGGTAGCAGTTAGGAGAATGAGAGTCATAAGTAGGGGAGCCAGGCCTTCGTAAGAGGCATGCAGGCAACCAGTAGCAGTCCTGTAGGTGGGTATCTGGGGGATACATGCCTGACCTCACAGTGTTTCCACCCTGTGACCTCCTGCCAGCGTTTCCCATTGGCCCCTGAGAACAAGGGAGCCTGGTGATGCAGTTGTTAAAGTTCATTCTTCCAGGGCACAGAACAGGGTGAGAGGGTGGAGGATGGGTCTGGAGGGGTAAATGGAAAGTATCCCATACAGTGTTCCCTGGGCTTTGAATGGAGAAATTTGGCTGCATCTTGAAGTACGTAGCATTGACAGAGCCAGGCACATAATAGATGCGCCAGTGAGCACTTTCCCTTTAATTTAATCGTCTTTTAAAGAAGAATTTTAGATCTATTCAGAGTGAGATTCTAGTTTTATTGGGTGGATCCTTGCTTCTTGTCCCTATGATAAGAGGCATCTGCAGTAGTCTCCTTTTTTGTTTTCCATATGATTTGTTTAGTTTAAATGTGTTTGTTTCTGCATTGGGCAACCTCTAGTGGTTCTTAGGAAAATAACACTTGAATACAAACCTGCAGTCTTAGCAAGTATTTTGTTTGGGTATCTATTGTCTTTTGATCCCACATTTCTGTGTTACCTTATAATAAATAAACATGTCAAGCAGTAAAGATCTTGGGCTTAATTAAGACCAAAGCAAAGAAATAGTGAACCAATATTTTGCTTTTTAATAATTGTACTGATTATTGCTACAGATGATTAAACTTCTGATAATATCAGCGGTTTTGATGTTATTCTAAGCGCAGTGAAAAACCATCGGAAGATGTTAAGGAGAGGATGACACAAATTCTGGCTTGGATAGATGATGGTTTGTAGGGTAGAAACCAAGAAATCCGTTTTTAAATTAGTCCAGATGAGGAAGAGAGAAGATAATGACTGGGCAAGTAGCAGTGAAAATGGAGAGAAATGGGTGGCTTTGGGATATATTTTAGAAGTTTGATGTAGAAGGACTTGCTGGTGGAGTACATATAAGGAGTGTGAGAAAGAGAAAATTCAAGAATGACTAAGTTTTTAAGCTTTAGCAACTGGGTGCCCTGGTCTGACTTGGGGAAGAATAAAAAAGGATGGGAATCAAGAGTCCTCTTTTTACTTTGTGAAGTTTGGCCTGAAATAGGCTAAGTTGCTGCTGCTGTGCTGGTGGTGGTGTGTGTGAGTTAAGACATGATTTCACTTATCTGTGGAATCTAACGAACTCAATAAACTGATGAATAAAATAGAACCAGAAGCATGGAAACATGGAACAGACTGGTGAATCTCAGAGGAAAGTTAGGGTCAGGAGAAATTAAACAAAGAATTTATATGCATATATGCATTGCCCATGGACACAGACCATAGGGTGGTGAAGGCCTGGGATGAGGTGGGAGCCAGGTGGGGGGTTGGGGGGCAAAGGGGAAAATGGGGCAGCATCTGTAATATTCTCAACAATAAAGATGTTTTTTAAAAGAATGAGTGTTTCTCTTCTAGCATACTATCATGCTCTACTTTTAATTTCCTTTTATCTCTTTCAGCGTTGGAGGAATTTTTTACATCGCTTGTGAAGCAAGAAATGGTGAATATGCCCCGTGGGGTATATCACTTGGCATTGAAAGGAGGTGCCCGCTCAGACCAAGGAAAGACTGTAGCAGGAATCCCCAATTTTATATTGAAAATGTATGAAACAAACAAGCAACCAGGTTTGAAACCTGGCCTTGCAGGTGAGCACAGTACATAGTATCCAGGTACAAGTTTTTAATGCATTGTTTTAGCTCCCATTTCCAGGCAGGCCGGAGTAGGGCATGGGAGGGCATTGCTGCTGCTGCTGACATGTAGGCACAGCTGGATAAATGGCAAGAATCAGTCACATTTTAAAGGCACTGGAGAACTGTAGAAGCAAAGATGGATAGATAGACAAAAAAAATCCAGAATAGGAGAACATTTTAGGGTTGTCCTCATCCCCAAGGAGGGTAGTCAGACTCTGGTTGTGAGCTAGGATTGGGGGTTGGCCAGGAAGAGGCCTGTTGGAAGCTAGAGAAACAGCGGAGCTATTAGTGGTTCCCCTGGATGAGGGCGCTGTGCTGGTTAATTTTATGTGCCTTGATGGGGCTAAGAGATGCCGGGTAGCTGCTGAAACATTTTGGGTGTGTCTGTGAGTGTGCTCAGAAGATAGCTTTGAGTCAGTAAACTGAGTAAAGAAGATCACCAGGGTGTCCGGGCCCCAATGGAACAGAAAACAACGAGAGAGTGAATCTGCTCTTTGCTTGAACGGGTGCGTCCATCTCCTGCCCCTGGACGTTGGCACCCCTGGTTCTCAGGCTTTGGGACTTGGGCTGAATTATTCCTCTGGCTTCCCTGGTTCTCCAGCTCTCGGGTATATATTTCTTATTCGTTCTGTTTCGTTAAAGACTCTGACTAATAGAGGAGACAAATTGGAGGTTTTCCTCAGAAGATATTTGCTGAATTTTGAGTTTGCACTGAAAGTTAAAGAAGTAGGCTGATGCTTCGGGAAGGCCAAGTGAAATCTCCTTCCGTCTTGTGCTCAGGAGACAAAGACCAGCTAGGAGAGTGGGTCTGAAACAAAGCACAGGAGCAGGGAATTGGTCCTGAAGAAGGACAGTGCTTTTCACCTGAGTGCATTTACTGTCCTGGCCTGGGCTGGAGGCGGGACTTCAGGCTTGACCTGAACAAGAGGCTGGTGCAGGAGGCAGAGAAACCAGCAGAGACCTTGACATCTGTGTGGTGCCTGAGTGACAGAACGGGAGACTTGAGGAATCTCAAACACACAGCCCGTTTCTCCCTTCAGAATGACATTTGCCCAAATTGGGAACTTGAAGGGATGGGAGAGTTAGAGGTGAGCTGGAAACCTCTGAGGACAGACCTGGATCTCTCACAGTTATTCCATACTGAGGAGTCCCTTTAGGCTGCCAGTGGGAAGTCATGGGGAGTCCTGCCCTCGGAACAGGGCTGAGCCAGACATGGACTAGGATCCACCAGAGCTGTAGTTATGCCTAACCCAGTCCGGTCCCCGATTTGGTTGAGGAGATCAGTGCTTCCCTATCTGCTTAACAGAGGAGAGGAGTTTAGCATCATTTAGACTAAAATCTCTGTGGTTCTTTTTTAAAAAAAATATATATTTTATTGATTTTTTTACAGAGAGGAAGGGAGAGGGATAGAGAGTTAGAAACATCGATGAGAGAGAAACATCGACCAGCTGCCTCCTGCACACTCTCTACTGGGGATGTGCCCGCAACCAAGGTACATGCCCTTGACTGGAATTGAACCTGGGACCCTTGAGTCCGCAGGCCGACACTCTATCCACTGAGCCAAACTGGTTAGGGCTCTGTGGTTCTTTTATTTACTGTCCGGTATACAATGAAAAAGTACTAGACATATGAAAGAGGAAGAAGCTAGAAATGAAGGGGACATTTCACGGAGATAACGAAGTCACCCTATTAAGAAAATGTCACTATCCTAGTCAGTGCATACAAAATAGCATAGCTTCAAGATATATGATAAAAATTAGCACAACTAAAAGATGAAATAGACCTGCAGTAAAGATGGGAACTTTAAAACATGGTTTTCAATAGCTTGATGAATAAGTAGACAAAAAAACTGTATAAGTTTACAAACTATCTGAATAACACTGTGAACAAACTTGACTTAATTGACAAAGAACAGTGATAGAATTCCTATGCTTTTCAACAGTACATGAGAAACTTACCAATATGACCATATGACAAACCATAAGCATCAAAAAATTTCAAAATACTGAAGTCATTAAGAGTCTGTCCTCTGATGACAATGGGACTAAGCTAAAAATAAACACCCCCAAAATAACTAACTAGAATGTCTCCAGTAGCCTAGAAATTGAACAGTACACTTAGAAATAATCCAGGGATTAAACTAAATATCAAAATGGAAATCAGGAAATATTTTAAACTGAATGATAATGAAAATAAGCCATATCCCAACTGCTAAAACAGTGTTAGAAGGAAATTTATACTTTCAGTGAATATATTAGAAAACAAAAAAGGAAAATAATGACTTAAGCTTCCATCTCAAGAAGCTTTGAAAAGAACAACAAATTAAATGTAATGAAAGGAAAGAGGAAGTAATAAGAAGAATAAAAACTAATGAATTAGAAAACATAAAATAAAGAAAATGAGCAAAGCCAAAGTTGGTTCTTTGAAAAGCTTAACAAAATGATAAAGCCAGTGTAGGTTTGGATAATAAATTAGAGAAATATTGTTATCAGGAATAACAAAGGAGATACCACTTCAGAGCCTATAGCATTCAAAAAGATAAAGAATTTATAAAGAACCTTAGCAGTTTAGATAAGGTGTGGAAATTTATCAAAATATAAATCTTTACAAAACGGACAGGAGGATAAATAGACTGTATGAGTAGTTTGATAATGTATTAAAGAAATTGAACCTCTAACAACCTTCCCACTGATACTGAATAAAAACCATGGTGCACATGGCATCCTTGGTGAATTCCTCCCCAAAATTAAGGGAGCAATAGCAATGATATTTGTATTCAATGAACTCTAACAGAGAATAGGGGGGGGAAAAAACCAACTATGAGATTGGCATACTTTTTTAAAAAAATATATTTTATTGATTTTTTACAGCGAGGAAGGGAGAGGGATAGAGAGTTAGAAACATCTATGAGAGAGGAACATCGATCAGCTGCCTCCTCTACACCCCCCACTGGGGATATGACTGCAACCAAGGTACATGCCCTTGACTGGAATCGAACCCGGGACCCTTCGGTCTGCAGGCCGACACTCTATCCACTGAGCCAAACCGGTCAGGGGTTGGCATACTTTTTATACCAAAATCTGACAAGTACAAGAAGGGAATATTACAAACCAATCTTTTCTATGAACTTAGTTACAAAAAAAAAAAGAGAAAGAAAGAAAGAAAATTGAACTCAGCAATAGATACAAAAGATAATACATAACAAATGGGGTCAATTTACTGTTTAAAAATATAAGTCATTATATTAATAGAAAAAGGCAGAGCAATATTTAAATTATAGCAATAGATACAGAAAATATCCTTGAAAAATTTACCTTCTGTTCATGATATTAAAAAAAGATTCATATTAAACTTTGAATAGAAGAGAACTTTTTTTATTCTGATAAAGAACATCTGCAATTCCATTGTCGTACTTAGTACTCAGATACTGAGATTGGGGGAAAAGATATGGATGTTTATTAGCATCACTGTTGTTCAGTATTGTAATGGAGGGCATAGCTAGTGTGATAAGCCAAAAAAGAAGAAGAAGAAAAAAGGCAATAAGGGTTAGAAAGGAAGAAATAAAATAGTCATTATGTGCAGATGACATGATTGAATACATAGAAAATTCAAATTTATCTACATATTAAGGTTGATAAATGAATTCAGCAAGATTAATGCATATATACAAAAGTCAACATATAAAAATCAATGATAATTGAAAAAGGTTTTTAAAAATTAAAGAAATAAAAGTCACTAAGAAAATGCCCAAAAAAATCAGTGATATATTTTATATACCATAACAAAAAATAAATAAAATTTGAAAACACTATCATTTACAATAGCATCAAAAAATATTGATTACCCAAAGTAAATTTATCAAAAAGTATGTAAAACCCTTATGCTGGAAGTTACAGACATTATGAAGAAAAATTTTAAAAATTCTAACAAATGGAATGATATACAATGTCTATGGACTTGAAGACTGTGTTGTAAAAATGTTAATTTTCTTTAAATTGATATGTGGATTCAACCCAATCCAAATCAGTATCCCGATAGGTTGTTATTGTTTTTCTTTGAAACTGACAAGTAGATTCTAAAATTTGTGTGAAAATGAACAGATAGCCAAGGTAATCTTGGAGAATCAAAACAAAGTAGGAGGATTTACATTACCACATGTCAAGACTTTTTATGAAACCACAATAATTGACAGTGTGGGATTGGTGCAAGGATAGACAAACGGACCAGTGGAAGACTATTGCAAACCCACATAATAGGGCCACAGATTTATTACAAAGGTGGCACTGTAGAGCTGTGGAGAAAAGGGGTCTTTATCACAAATGGTTCTATAATGAAAAGCTCCAGTTATAAAAATAGTGACAAATTATATTAAAATCAAGGACATGTGTTAATCAAAATATACCTTGAAGAGAGTGAAAAGACAAGCCACAAAATGCAAGAGAGTATTATACATGTGTCTGATAAAGAGCTCATATCTAGCATATATAATGAGTTTTTGCAAATTAATAAAATATAATGAATTTTTGCAAATTAATAAGAAAAAGACAATCAGAAAACAGTAAAAAGAATTGAACACACCCTTCAAAATGAGAGTATTTAAATGTTCAATGAACATATGAGTAAACAATCAACTTAGCCATCAGAGAGATACAAATTAAAACCTCAATAAGATACCACCACATATTTAACAGATTGGCTAAAATGAAAAGAGATGGAAAATACAAAGAATTGGCAAATATGTGGGGCAATGGTTACATGTTAGTACAACCACTTTGGAAACCTTGTATTGAAATCATTTACACTGTTACCCAGCTATTTCATTCTTAGGGATAGACCCAAATGAAGTCACTAGGAGACACGCACTGTAATGTGCATAGCAGCACTATTGGAGTAGCCCTAAACTTGGAAGCTATCTAAATGCCTGTTGACAGTAAAATGGATAAATAAATCGTGGTATGTTCACATGATGGAGTATTATTCAGCAGTGACTGCCAATAACTGTGAATGATTGTTGCAATGATTATATTGAGTGAAAGAAGCCAGATTTTTAAAAAGCCATTTTACAGTCTAATTCTATTAATATAAAATAGCGAAGTAGGCAAAGTGGGTACTAGAAGGTTGCTACCTTTGGGACAGGAGTGCATGTGACTGGGAGGAGACATGGGGAAAGGCTTCTGGGATGTTAACAGTGTTTTGTTTCTTGATCTGGGTGATGGTCAGACTTGTTTGTTCAGTTTATGAAAATTCATTGAGCTCGGTATGCCTATTACATGTGCACTTTTCTCTATGTGTACCATACTTCAAAAAGATGTTTAAAAATGTAACGATCTCTATGTTTTAAATTATCTTACCCCTTGAATGTGTCTTTTCATTGGCTCAGAATTACCCAGGCAGTTTCCAAGACTACCCTCGCTCACTCTAGCACTTGGCTGCCTGCGCTTGCATCTCCATTGACACTGGGGCCAGCGGGAGCTGGAAGTTCAGTTTGAGAACTTGGTTGACAAGAGTGGGAAGGAGTGGGCAGAGAAGGGTGAGAGGAGGCGGGAGGGGAAAGGGGAGAATGAATGAACGTGAGTGCAGGTATGAGGAAAAGCTTGTTCACTTGTAGGTATAAACTAAAGAACCCATGTTTTATCAGGATTCAGAAATGATATGTGCAAGCACTTCTTTAATTGGAATTTATTTTTTTAAAGCTTAATAGAATCTCGAAAGTAACAGTTTATAAAATTTAAAGTGTCATGAATTGCAAATTTATTCACTTATATACAAATGAATAAAGCTTGTAAATAAGTGATAGTTTAAATATAACTTTTATATTTCTTCTATTTTTTTCTTTCCTTAGACACCAATAGCCAAATATAACTTGCTTAGCACATTCTTTTAATTCGTAAATATCTCTATCCAGATTGATTAAATATTGATTATTGAGAATCTAATTGATGAAGTTTTTTTATAAGAAATGTTTTTGTTTTCTTTAAGGGGGTATGTTGTTTTGTTACGATGTTTCAATGTATCAGAGTAAAGATGGCAAACCTTTGAATCGACTGATGGCCAGTAGAGGGCGAAGTTTCAAGCAGACCTCACTTGCTCTGGTGCATGAGGTAGGTGCCTGCCCACACCCTAACAGGTTCTTCTTCCCTGTTTGTTTTGGGATTTTCCTCCTTACTTTATGCTCATGAGATTTAGTGTCTATTTGGAAATAATTTTTCTCTTTATCATAATTAATTTAAGTTGTTTTTAAAGGTAAGCAAAATAGCTGACTCGCTAAAACATTTTGATATGTTTCTGAGAGAAACTGGCCTGCTTCCCCTACGGCTTAACCTAAAATTTTAGAAAAGAATCTAGGAATTTGATTTATTTCATCAATGTTTAACTTCCATTGTAAAGAATAAAAACTAACTTCTTATTTAAAGAAATTATCTTGCGTGTTTATTAATTCTAATCTTTTGCAATTATGTAGGGCACCAGTATTTATATTTTTGAAGGTCAGGGAATTAAAAGTAAATAAACATGTTTAGGTTAAAAAAAACACTTTGGTTTTAGTGTTTATTTTACTTTTAGGCTACCTTTTTTAAATAAAGCTATCTGATGTCATTACATGATTTGCATGAAACCGGATCATTACAAATTATAGCAACACCTGAGGGAAGTGGGAAGCTGGGAAGTACTTGTGAAATGTGTGGTGTGTTGTTGTTTTTTTAAAATTTTTTGTGGCAGTGCTCATTCAAGTGTATATAAATGAAAATACATGAATGAATAACAAAATATCACAGCAAAGATGATTATCTAATATAGATGTAATTTATATAGCAATTATAAATAAAAACAAATTATTTTGTAAAAAGTTAGTGGGGGCTTAGGAGCGGGGTGGAGGGGGCCAATGGGGGAGAATAGGGATATCAGTAACACTTTCACCAATAAAGATAAATAAATACAAAGTTAATGGAGATTATGTAAAAATAGGGCTTCTACACTATGTATTAAATCTTATATTGATGCACAATTTATAAATCTTGGTAACATTAATTTGGTTTGATTATACTCTGAATGTATACCAGTGACCACCAGTTAGCAAAAGTGGTTTTTAAAGACCCATCTTTATCTATGCCACTTAGAATTCTGTGAATATTTGGTTCAGAACCATATTTGTCTAATACCGTGTCTTCATTTAACTAAGGAGGGAAGAAAGATCTAGGAAGAGCAGTGTTTCTCTAGGAAGAAGAAAAGTTTAATGTTATGAAAGAGGGAAAAACAGGTGATTTCTGGATATGTTTTCCCTAGCATCTTACTAGTGGGTGTGGAGATGGGAGAAATTTGGTACCTTTTTGTGTTTTTAAGCTGTGCACTTAGTAATTTGAAGGATAATAAAAGTATTGAATATTACTGGACAGCTGATTTTAAAATCTGAACAGAAACAAGAAAAAGTGTGAATGTGAAATAATAATAGGTAGTAACCAGCTCAGGCACTTTAAAAATTGCTAATATATGAATTCATTTAATATCTACATCAACACTGTGAGATGGTGCTGTTAATGTGCTAGAAACCATGGAGCTAGTAAGTAGAGGAGCCTGGAAATGGAACCCAGATCGAATCACTCCACGGTCCTTGCACTACCTCGTACCCTCCCAGGTCCAGCAGAGAGCATTTACTAGTAAAAACACCTTTGGGTCTTTCCAAGATGCCCCGGCTATTTCCTAACTCTTCTTGCTTCTGGTCCTTTTATTGTTGCAGTCCATGTGATGGTTTTCTAGCCTAAGTTTCTTCAAACTCTGCTTTGCTTTCCACCACTACTTTATGCTGAGTCTTTTTATTTAAAAAAAAAACTGTCATGAATGTTTCAATTTGTTTACTGGATTCAGTAATTAATTCATCCATTGATGGATCTTTGGGTTGTTTCCAGTTTGGGGCAGTTATGACTAAAGCTGCTATAAACATTCTCATACAGGATATGCGGGTAGTGGTTTCCTTTTTGTGTTTCCTTCATGACTATTGATTATTCCTTAATGACTAATGACTTTAGTGTCTGATTTTTTCATATATTTGTCATGCATACCTTTTCCTCCCTGAGGTGTCTTAATTCTTACCCATCTTTAATCAGGTATTCGTTTTTTATATATTCTGGGTATAACTTATTAGAAATGTGTTTTGCACATGTTTTTTTACCTAATCTGTAACTTGTTTTTTTATTTGCTTAACAATGTCTTTTGGTGAGCAGATTTTTAGTTTTGAAGAATTCCAGTTTATCAAGTTTTTGGTTTTTTTGTTTTGTTTTGTTTTTTTTATGGTTCTTGCTATTTGTCTAACCCAAAGTCTCAAAGATTTTCTTTTTTCTATTATATTTTTTTATTTTAAAAAATCGAGGTATAACTCATATGTACCATAAAATACACCTATTTAAAGTGTACAGTTCAGTGGTTTCACTATATTAACAGTTATCACCACAATGAATTATAGATATTTTCAACACACCAAAAAGAAACTTTGTACCCATTAGTGGTCATTCTCCATTTTCCTCAATTTCCAGCCTGTAGCAACCACTCATCCACTTTCTGTCTCTATAGATCTACCTGTTTTTGATATTTCATATAAATGGAATTATACAACATGTGGTCTTTTTTGCCTTTTTTTTTTTACTTAGCATAATGCTTTCAAGTTTTATATATACTGTTGCATGTATCAGTACTTCATATCTTTTATGGCAGAATAATATTTCATTATGTGAATATGCTATAGATATTTTATCCATTAATCACTTGCTGGATCTCCTATATTTTCTTGTAGAAGTTTTATAATTTAAGGTTTACATTTTAGCCTATGCTCTGCTTGAGTTAATTTTTCCTAAGGTATGAGTTACATTTGTTGAATATGCCATCCTTCATCTCGGCACCTTTGTCAATAATCATTTGTCCATGTATGTGTGGGCTCTATCTGTACTCAATCTTATTCCATTGATCTATGTGTGTCTATTATCATCAAAACCACACGAGTTAATTACTATTGCTTTATAATAAATCTTGAAATCAACTAATGTGACTCTTCCAATTATTTTGTTTTGCTTTTAAATTTGACTTAGGCCCTTTGCTTTCCCATATAAATTTTAAATCAGCTTTGAGAAACCACAAAAATCCCTGCTGTAGTTTTGATTGGAAATGCATTGAATCTGTAGATCTATTTGGGCTCTCTCAAATTGACATCTTAACAATATTGAGTCTTTCAGCCCATGCACAAGATATGTCTTTTGATTATTTCAGGTCAGTGTTCTCTTGTTACAAATCTTGCACATATTTTGATAAATTTTATAAATATTGCATATCCTAAGTATTTTGGTGCTAATGCAATTCGACTTTTTTTGTGTTAATTTCTGACTGCTTACTACTAGTATATAAACATATAATTGATACTTTTCTATGACCTTACTAAACTCACTTACGTAGTCTTGTAGTTTTTTTGTAGGTTCTTTTTGTTTTACATTGTAATAATGCCTGTGAATAGAGATGGTCTTAATTTCTTTTCTTTCTGATTTGTCTTTCTTTCTTTCTTTCTTTCTTTCTTTCTTTCTTTCTTTCTTTCTCTCTCTCTCTCTCTCTCTCCCTCCCTCCCTCCCTCCCT